TTTTTTTTTTTTTTTTTTTTTACTTAATCGACGCGACGACCTTGAATCTAGTGTTCCCACGTGGCGGAAGGTTCAACTTTGACGTGGAAGATGGTCATCACAGCACCGTTTCCTCCCGACGGTTCAACTCCCAGGTGGACTCCCAGGTGGATGAGACGTGGCAGACGGTTCAACTTCGACGTGGAAGATGGTCATCACAACACCGTTTCCTCCTGACGGTTCAACTCCCACGTGGAAGATGGTCATCGCAGCACCATTTTGTTCCCCTCGAGACATCCAAGGAAGCATAGAGAGATCGACTCCGATTCGACCACTATAGCAGAATCTATGCTACAGGGTAAGTGAGATTCGATCTGACTGCTCTGTGTTTCTATGATAGGGTCGGATCCGATCCGACCGCCACATCTCTGTCCAGTGGGCAGAGACAGAACAATCGTTCATATGGAACGGTCGGATTGAATTAGACCGGTGTAGGATGTAATATATGCAACAGGGTCTGTGAGACTCCGATCCGACCACACCATAGAGAGCGTGACCGCACCATACAGAGAAGTCGGATCGAATCCGACCGCCGCATTTCTGTATACTGGGAAGCAACAGAACACTCGTTCACATGGAGAGGTCGGATTCAATTTGACTGGTGGTGTTGTATGCAGCAAGGTATGTGAGACTCCGATCCGATATGGAGTGGTCAGATTCGATCCGACCGTCACATGTCTGGGGGCAGACTCGGAACACTCGTTCACATGGAGCAGTCGGATTGAATTCGACCGGTGGTTCCACCATCACGAACTGGGGCGTGACAAACACCACCGTACTGGCGAGGAACTCAGAGGTTGGGGTAATCCATGTCAGAGGAACTCGAAGGCTGGGATAAACCATGTCATACAGAGCAGTCGGATTCGATCCGACCACCGCATCATCAGCTTCTTCTCGAGCTCATGATCTCTTGGCATATCTCCTGTCCTTGTCGTTTTCCTCTCGGTATCTCTTCCCCCAATCTTTTGTCAACCCCACCGGCTGCCAGCCATGGATCCTCACTGCTTTTGTCCCCTGAGCGAGCACAGTTTGAGATAATTTTTCCTCATCTGCATCCGTGTCTGTTGGTCAAGGCTTCCTGTTGTTTGTGCCCACTGTCATCCTAGTCATTGTATCCCTAACCCTCGATTGACTTCTGTATTTAGACCCTCGGAAGTTTCTCATAAGGCATGTGCATTCCGATGTTGTGAGGGTTGTGGTTTTGCAATGTGGGCTTCTCATATTCATAGCAGATCATGCTCGTCTACGATTACCCTAGTCATGAATTAAACGCATTGGGAGTGCATGTGGACATTTGTATAAGTAAATCCAAACGGGAAGCAACAGGGTATACTGTATCAGCACGTGAGTGATATACATGGCATGGGGTGGGCCTCAATCGGACCGATAAGGATGTGCACGGACAAAGGACAAATGAGTGGCATACAACTCATAGAAGTTTGCGGTGGATGTGAGTAGCTAGGGATGAACTGGTAGACATGCTGGTGAGAATGTGTTTGCACACAACTTCAAGGAGTAGCAGAGGTGTGTGCGGAGGTGGAAGGTTGGTAGTGTAACAGGTAGATGGGTGTGGAGGGGTGTAAGCATGTGGATGGATGGATTGTCACACACCATGGGTACATAGAGTGGGAGAGGCTCAGTTGAGCATGAGGGATCTATTCACAACATCAAGAGTACATGTGTGTCCCCCCCCTCTTTTTTCTTCTCTTATTTGTCTTTATACTATGTGTTTTGTAGATCCATGGTTGAATCCTACCGATTTCATGTTTTGAGTTAAAAAAAGAAGGAAAAAAAAAAGGAATTGTTTGGTTGCCACAAAAGAAAACTGGCCGCTGTGAAATATATGAAACCGTGCAGCATCATGACTCAAAGGGTTGGAACAAGTCATATAGAGTGGTCGAATTCAATCCGACAACTCCATCTTAACAGTGGCATGTTCATGTAGCTTGTGCTGTGGTCGTAGGGCTGGATGGATACTTTTGGGGGTGGAGAACATTCTCTCTCTTATTAGGCTGAAGAGGTAGTCCCTATTCTGCAACATAGTGGCATCTGATAGTCTGTAAGCTCCATGGGCTCGGCACTGATTGAATCTGATGGTAGAATTAAACAATCATTTGTCTCTTGCAAAAAATAAAAAAGAACAGAACAAAGAAGCCAGAAGCTCAATGTTTTGGAGAAGTCAGGAACTCAATGCTTTAGTTAGATGATTATGTTGCGGCTCTGAGGTTGTGCCCTGTGTATCTCAGTGAGGAACATAAATTGAGGAAATGTTGGCATTAAAAAAAATTAAAATGATGTACTTCCCATTGTTCCCAACCCCGTATGACTAAATGGTGCACCCAAGAGCTGTTGATATCCAGGCCTGAGTTTGAATCACTTTATTAAAATTGCTCTATATCTCACGTGTCTGGTCAGTTCGATAATGATGCTAGTTCTTTTTTTTTTTTTTTTTTGGAAAGACATGTAGACGGGGATGATTTATCAGTCAGGTGCAGAGTGTGAGGGCAACCTGATAGATGATCCACCTATACGGATGGCAGTAGGGACGCACACGTGCATGGCACTGGGTGATCATCCGCCTATAATAAGACTCTGATCATCAACCTTCATCAGGCTTCATGGCAATTATGCCTTGAAATTGTAAGGTTCACCCATCCTTCAATTCCGCTGCTTTTATTTGTTATCACCATGTTTGATGTTGCCTCTCAAGCAGAAGCTGTGCGGTCTTACCCTTGTGAACCACGGTCCAATCCAATCCGACCATACTAATTCGATCTCGATCATGCTAGCACGGTCGAATCAAATTCGACCTTACTAAATCGATCAAATCACTCTTTTTCTTGCGCAAGAAACATACCTCCCAACCTCCGTTCATGCCTCCCTCCCTCCCTTCCTCCCTCCCTCCCTCCCTAGCTCCCTCCATGTTATCTTCCTTCTTGCCTCCCTTTGTGCCTCACTCCTTCCCTTACTGCATCCCTCTCTTGCATGTTCCTTCCCTTCAACCCTTCCTCCTTGATTCCCTCCCTACCCCACTCCCTCCTTATCCACCTAGAATAAGATGAGTGGGTGACCCTTCTTTTGGACATTGTCCTTTAAATTTATTGATTTGATGGTGGTGGGTTATTTATCCTATTCTTTAGGGTATAAATGAATTACCCATCTCTTTTATGGTGTACATAATTCTGATGATCTGTATCTCCTCATCACGTATGTGTAGATGGAACCAGAAGAGCCTAGTTCGCTGTCACCTTCCAGGAAACGACACAACACTGGCCGCAGGACGTCATCAGGGAAAAAAAGGAAACAGTGTTCTCAAACTCCTGAAGAGCATGAAGCTCAGATTCTCTCTAGAGGGAAGACCATCAGCAAGAGTTCAGAAGGGGTAAAGTTAACTCCCCATCGAGTATCAAGTAGTGGGACAGGAGGAACGTCTGGACGTGGTGACTCGACCAGTGGGACCGGAGGGTCGGAATCTGAAAGACAGTTTGAGAGCTTGAAGATTGCATGTGAGTCTCAACTCTCAGCACGTCGAAGTAGGTGGATGATAGATTGGGTTGGCGAGTCTCGGAAGCCAGGTTGTGGCGTGGTCCTTTTTCTTTTGGATAGAGAGAAAGTTTTCCCTGTTGGTGCAGTGTCTCGGTTTTCTAGTGCAAAAAAAACTGGCGTTACTTTTTTCATGAATTCGGTTCTTAACCGAAAGGGACGCATATGTTCAGGACTTCGTTCCGTTAGCTTGGAATGGGAACTCTTCTTGGGTTATGGTGCTGGGGCCGCTAATATTTGGAGTCTCATGACTGCAAGGTCACAAGTTCCACCTATAGTGGAGTTTCTCAAGTTCGCTCTTGAGAAACGAGTCGTGGGTCAATATCCTCAGGTTGGGAAAGGGACAAGGATTTCTTAACCGCAGGTGCCTGTTGTCACTGTTGAAGGTGCCCTGGTGCATTCTGCAGTCAATGCGTGCATTCCATGTGACAGAGAAGGGGATGGCACTGCAATTCTTGCCACTCCAATCTCTGGAGCGCAGCAAGAAAGTCTCAAAGCAGTTAGAGACTTCGCTCCTAAGGCACCTTACAAGCATCATCCACCCATAAAGTTGAAGTTGCATGTTCGCCAATCGGGCAACGATTCTATCACACCGGGTCCCGCACCTGCAAGTCAACCACTCAGTCTAAGTGACATCCCTGTAGTTCCACAGGGATTTGACGATGAAGATAGTGAAACAAGTGATGATCAGGAAAATCCTTTCCACTCTAAGGAGGACTCACCTGGGGAGGGATCACATCCTTTTACGGTTGACACACCATCAACAGGGCTTACCCAGGGTCGTTCACTATCTCCAATCCACAATGACAAAGGTGATCGGAAAAAGAAACGGAAAGAAGGTGATTAGGGAGAGGGTGAGAGGAACGAAAAGAGGAAAACCACATGTGATGTTGAGAAGGTAAAATGATGAAGGACAAGAAACAATGAAGGTCCTAGAACTGTCCAGCCGTTGGATTTCCCCACTGCTGTAGTGAGGATGCGAGATGCTGATAAGGTTGCCAAAGAGGCTGCAAAACCAAAGCGGAAGGTTGCCAAAGGGGGGACCATGGAGAAAACCTTGATCTATGAGCCTTCAGGGGCTGCCCAATCTGATGATGAAGGGGACGGCGCAGCACCAACAAGACCTTCCAACCTTCAGTTCTCATCTGCCTCCTCGAAGATCTTCCCGGTCGAAAAGGGGTTTTTCATGGATTATGGAGAGGATGGGAAAATGAACACAAACACTTATTTTTGCACAGTTATATTGGACATGATTTTGGATATTCCAGCCCATGAACGCGGCTATAACCACCGTGGACTGAACCCTCTTCACGTAGAGGACATAGAAAGCGCGATGGAGAGGTCTGTGTTGGAGAAGTTCGATCATAGTAAGCCTATTTATTCGAAACCGACATTGATATTAGTACCCCTACACAATAAGCCCACTGTTGATCCAATCACAGGTCAGAGTTGTAGGGCCATAAGAGTCACACCTGAGAAGTTTCGGGTAGATCAAGTTGATAGGTATTACTGGTACCCTCTGAGCGGCCAACATAACGTTGAGGCGGCCAGACTCTTCATTGACAGACGGCGTGATTTACTGACAGACCTGCGTGTAGATTACTGGACTGCAAGGCCTGTGCATTTCCCAGATGAGCATGAGGACAATTATCAGCAACTCAGTACATACGAAAACTTGAAAGACAAGATGGCTATTCCTCCTCCACAACGCTTTATTGTGACGGCGATAAAACAGACATATAAGGATTGGGGTTGCCCACAAGTGGGCCTTGGCATCGCAGTGCGTGGACCAGCGAAGGATAAGAAAAACAAGTACGAAGAGTTTGCAAAAGCGGCACTTCGACAGACAGGCAGCTCGAAGAACTGGGAGTTGTCACAAGGGACATGGGAGAGGAAGTGGTCAGGCATTCTGGCCCCTTACATGGTCCTTGCAAAGGCGACGGATGATGTTTGGGAGAAGGTCATGAAGGTGTATGATGCTTGGGAGAGAAGGGACTTGCCAGGACGTGATGGCATTCTTCCTCGGCGTAAGATTGACACTGTTGGAAGAACTTCCAAAGCAGGTCCAGGATCTTATGAAGAAAAAGATAGGAGGATTGCAGTGAATTGGGTTCCAAGAACCGGGGGTGCTAATCATTTTGTGGCAGTGCGTGATCCAGATGTGCATGTATGGAAAACCATAACAACTCTGGGTAGACGAGAGCGTATCCAAGCTCTCACTGATCTCATATCTGGGTTCGTCATCCTCTCTCCCAAAACGAGTGTTAAAGCTGAGAATGCGGGGCTGCAGGGAATGGATGTGTATGTTGATAACATCAAGAAAGACAGAGCGATGTTAAGACTTTTTCATTATTTTCGTTGGGAACAGTCTCATGACGACCCACAACAGAGGCCACCATGGAATGACGAATTTTTCAAAGATTTATGCATCATTTTAAAGGAATTTGAGTCGGAGGGTCTTACTTGGGAAAAATGGGCAGTCAATAGAAATAAGTATTTCAAGAATAGTAATTATGTTGATAGGTTTCCTAAAAAGTTGGGGGGAGAGAATGTGAAGGCGGTAGGTGAGACAGAAAAACTTGCGCAAGAGTGTCCAGCGGGATTTAGGAACTTCGTTGAGCGAATTTTCGACAAGTCGAAGCAAAGAGGATGTGAGAGTATTCGACTGTCAGGGCTGGCAAAACACATCCACTTTAAGAAACAAAATTGTATATCTGTCTTTGTGCCTTTCTGGTTTAAGGCGCATGGAGTTCCAAATGACGAGGGAGACGCCGCAGATGTTCAACGTGCTATGAAGCATTTTGAATGTCATGTTGCAATATTGGACTTGTGTCACCCTACACCATTGCATATATGGATTGATGATGTTTTTCGCTCGGTGTACAACTTCCTTTGTGATTTATGCGGTGAGTATTGGTCATTGGTATGTTTTTTCCCAAGATCTTGGGAGACGACTTTCATCCAAAGGATCAGAGACTTCGATAATGTGCATCTTGTCATCTCCGCATGGGCACGTCGCACTCAGCATTCAGTGAAGCATCCAAACAGAGTTGGAAACATGCCACTTGGAGAGTTTGACAGAATTTTCGTGATCATGTACTCCAACGATGGTGACTATCATCAGAACACGATCAACGTCCATGAACTTGATACAACACTTTCCAATGATTTGGTGAAGGGAGGGGCTTCATCATCCACTTCATTTGAACCACCTCGACAGATGAGAGCATTCAACGAGAAGTTTGAGGAGAAGCCGTTTGCAATGACAAAGTGAAAAATGGCAGGGATGGAGCCAAAGGAGAAAAATGTGTATGAGGGGATGGAAAAGGAACCCAACAAAATGGTGGAGATGTTGGAACATTTTTGTCCCAAGGATCAGGCAGTGCTTTTCTTAGGAAAGAGTCCTGCTGTTACTGTGTGGGATCTATTAAAGAGTAAGCGACATGTTGTTGTCTTGGAGGAAGATAGCATGAAATTTGAATTCCTTATCCAATACACAATGAGGAATGTTGGTGATCGCACTTATTAAGCTGCGTTCGTCAAGCCTCGTCCAAGACATGAGAAGATAGGGATATGGTTCACAAACTTGGCAACAAAAGAGACTCTCTCTGGCATCTTCTTTTTTGATCTCGGCCTCGAGACCGTGGTGATGCAGCATATGCAAGGCGAAGAAGAAAAGTTGAGAGTTGGTTAAGAGGTTACCACAAGGCACGTCCCGAGGCAGAGGTGGTATTTATCGACCGCTTGGAGCAAATGTACTTCAATGACAATGTCGACCAATTCGATATGAGTGCATATGCTACATGCTTCGATGAGGGGCAACGCCTCTGCCAAAATGATTCTGATGAGGAAAGTGACAGTGATACATTGGGAGCTGCTTTGGTTGGTGAGTTGCAACGTTGGCACGACTCAACGTCAACTTTTGTAGCTACAACACAACCAACCGCTCCTCAAGATGGTGTTTTGTCAACACATGAAACATCGACGCTGCTTTTCAATCAAGCTTCAATAGTGGACTCATCACAGTGTAATTTCTAGGGTGGCTTGGAGTTTGGTGCCCCTGTAAAGTGTACAGGAACAACACCGCCAACTGCTGGTTTTCTTCCACCTGCATTCGCTGCATCCCACAACTTGTTTGCAGAAGCATTAGCGAATGTGTTAGGACAATTGCTTCCTAATGTTGATCCACCCCTTCTCCAAAATGTCTCACAAATGTTTCGTCCACAAGTGGTTCTAGTTCAGTTTACTCCACATGCAAGCATTAACAAAGAGGTTGATAGTAATGAGGCAGATGGGGAGGGAGGAAAAATGGGAAGAGAGAGGATGATGGAAATGGAAGGGGTGGGCAGGAAAGAGGAACGGGGAATGACAACAATGAGGTGGAAGATGAAGAGAAGGTACAACAAGCAAATGACGAGACAGACGTGAACACTCTTGGAGGAGAAGTCGACAATTCGCAATGTGATATTGTAGTACAAGGAACTTCACCGTCTGGTGAAAGGAATGTCACCAACAAACAAGATGTTGAAACTTTTCCTTCGGATCAAGAGTGTGTTTTTGCTTTACCGGCTCCACATGCACCGTTGACCTCAGTCAAACATGATCACGAAACTTACGATTCAAAGCCAAGTTCTGTTGAACGCCACCACTCCAAGGAAGAGGACGCTGGACATTTGGCATTGCAAGGGAAGGGACATGCGAAGGGAGCACAAAATGACGCCACTAGTGTCGGTAAGCTTGGAACATGAAAACTTCACCACCTTTAGACTATTTTTTCTATTGATTTTTCATAACCTCTAATGAAGGGTGTTATCGACGCCCATGAAGGATAGTAGCTAATCTTGCAATGTTCATGTCATTGACATAGTTTTTTTTTTTTTTTTGAACCATCTCTTAAAATTATTCTTGTGATTATGTTTTTGTGCATGTTGTGATTTTGGCAATGACTTCCTTCACAGGCGGTGATTACAATAAACGGGTACGTCCACACAATACGCCACAATGCAGGTTTGTTACAATCACGAAGCAAGTGTTTTCTACATCTCCGGTGACCAAGATAAGGATTGGAGAAAAGTTATTTGTACCCTTCACGGTTCCTCGTGTGAAGAAAAAAGCACTTCAGATGTTGAAAGCAGCGGGTATGAAGTTGAAAGATGGTGATGTTAAGCATCGAGAAGCTTGTATAGAATGTGTCTTGGGGGATGAAACAGAGAAAATATTTTAGGTACAAATTCGGGTAATTAGAGGAAATATGACGAAATCCAAGAATTGTCGATGCGTATATGGGATGTAATAGGGACGCTGGACCCGTTTTCCAGCAGGTGTTTCTCCCCATCATTAGATAGAGCCTTTACGTATAACCCCTTTAGGTGTGGGCATGAAACCTTGATTTAGGGAAAAAAAAAAAAAAAGTACACACCTGGAAAATATGGCAGGTACCTGCGGTGAGTTCTCTTATGGAAGGAAATCCTTAATGCAACCTGCAACACTTTCATCTTCTCCACTTCCTACATGTGCTCATACCTTAAGTTTGTACTAAGGGGCAGAGTACTTGGTATCCTGCAGGTGAAGCTCCTCACCAATTGGTGGAGCCTTCAACAGGGGACCATTGGGACGGGCTGCTCTTACCACCCAGTCTAGTGGTTCCCCGTGTATTAAAGAAAAAAAATCAGTTTATCGTAATTGACACAAGATTGTGCTTCAACTGATGGCTTGCCGCCACTTGGCCTTGAAGGTTTTTTTTTTTTTTTTTTTTTTTTTTTTTTTTTTTTTTTTTTAGGGTACGTGCCTTGGAAATATGGCAGGTATTAAACTCTCGTTTATGAAAGCGATTAGGAGTAGGTCGCTCCCCCATGGGACCCCTACCCTGAATACATCTGGTTGGCTAATGGGATGGTTGTGCTAAATTAGGCAGCCTTAGACTAGGCTGAAAGGTAGTCACCTCAATGTGCTGGCAGTAAATTCTTTGCCCAAGGGGCAAGGCAATCAATGCTGCAACACTTTTATCTTCTCCACTTCTCTCATGTACTCAAACCTTAACTTTATACTAAGGGACGTTGGACCTGGTTTCGAGAAGTTGCAACTTCTAACTAACAGATGGAGCCTTCAACAGGGGACCACTGGGAGGGGTTGCTCTTACCACCAGTCCATTGGTTTCCCTAGAAAAAAAAAGTCCCTTCGTCATAATTGACCCAAGGCGTTGTGCTTCTGAATTTTGTGCAGCAAGTGATGGCTTGCAGGGGAGCGGTATGAGTACTGCACCTTACGTGATCCCATTGCCTACAGAGAAATTGTCAGACGAGGAAGTATTGGGCATAGTGAGGGGACCTTCAATCTGTCCAGCCATCGATCGGGGGTAGCATTGAAATCCCCTGCCAGGATGATCGGGATTCCCCCTGATAGTTTGGGCTTCTGTTATCGGGAAACTGAGTTGCGGAAAGCTGAGCTGCGCGAAAGGTGAGGCGACTCCACCTCTCACTCCGCCAGATCCGGTATCCCCTGCCTGGTAGCTCGGGAAACTGAGTTGCGCAGGAGGTGAGACGACTCCACCTCTCACTCCACCAGATTCGGCCGCCTTGCTAGCGGCCTCCTACACTTATAGGGAGGAGGCGCATGTCGCAAGTCCTCGGTAATCTTACGAGGATTACGTTGTCCACTTGATCCCACCGTTGGACCAACCACTCCACGTGCAACAATCCACCACATGCACAGTTTCACCACCATCGACAACCGATTCGGCAGCTTTGCCGCCATCTATCGTCGGGGATTCGACGTCATGGTCAAGACTTGAAGAGCTCGACCCGTTGACGTTCGCGGCAATGGATGCTCGTTCCCCGGACCGGTCGATTGCCGAAACCGAATTGCAATGCGCTCAAGGCACAATTGCGGGATTACTTGCACAATGGAAAAAGAATTTAAAAAGAAATTTCAAAGAGAACGAAGCAAAATTCCCGTGCGATCCCCGCGCCGAAAACCCGGCAGCACAACCAACGAAAAAGAAGCAACGTCAACCATTATCAATCGCGCGCGCGGAGGCACGATAGCCACTCGACCGACCATCCCGGGGCTCGCCCAACCCTGAACCCAACCATCCGAAAAGAAGCGACGCAAAAAGACGAAGAAGCGAGGACACCGATGCAATTTTCCCTTCGATCCCGATCTCCCGTAATTGGCCCAACCTTCCCATCTTAGGACCCCTTATTGTCCTCGCGGAGAAGATCGCGCGGTGGAAATCGGTTCGTCACAACGACGTCGGCACGAACACACCTCGCTGGACCAACCTCCCTCCCCCCCCCCTTCCCCGCGTCCGCTTGTCGACATATGAAAGTGGCCACGGAAGCCCCCGAGGAATCGTCCTCGGGGAACCATTCCGAGGATGAGTGGAACGACGGCGTGAATTTCCTCGGGCCACGATGGGAAAATTTCCTCAGGCCCCGAGGACGCCCCAAGGAGTGTCTAACGAGCCCCATAGTCACTGTAGTGGAAGCCATGGGACTCATAGCGGACGAAAGTCCTGATGTGGCAATACTATTCCTAGATTTAGAAAAAGCATATGACTGCGTAAATTGGGCATTTGTCCTTACCTCATTGAGACAAGTGGGAATCGGGGAAAGTTATAGTACTTGGGTGAAGGCCTTGTACTGCTTTTCCTCTGCATCTGTAATGATTAATGAGCGCATTTCACCTGCCTTTCCTTTAACCCGCTCACTGAGGGTATACTCACACGAGGACCAAAAGACCCAAAATCCCAAAATTTTGAGTCATTTTTCAGGTCACACTGGAGAGGCTCGTTACCCGAATGCCTCAAACCTTGACCCTTCTGTCAGCGGCCTGCGGGGCCGCGGGCGTACCCTTTTTGAGACCACCTCCGGAAGTGGTCTCAAATTACCTTTCGTTTTTTTTTCCCTATGTTCGCGAATTGAAGGGAATCATAGATGAAGAAGACAGCCCGCCAAACAACTGAAAGTGCGACCAGGAACATTTACGTTGTAGATAAGGCCCAAGCGTTATATTAGCGTGAAAAAAAATAATTCAAAAATCCATCGTTTCATTTGATCCTCCCCCATGTGACCGGGCGCATTTGCCCTGAATGCAAAGTTTCAGGGTCGTGACTTCGTCCTTTCTGGACGAGGTCCGCCCGTGTGACCACACGGGGACCAAATGCCTAAAAAAAACCGAACCACATGCCTCAAAATTTTGAGACTGTTGGTCCAGGGCATACTCACACGAGGACCAAAAGACCCAAAATCCCAAATGAGTCATTTTTTGGGTCACATTGGAGAGGCTCGCTACCCAAATGCCTCAAACGGTGACCCTTCTGTCAGCGGCCTGCGGGGCCGCGGGCGTACCCTTTT